CTTTTTCCACCGGCTTGTGAATGGAAATTAATTTCGCTCCTTTCCAGTGTATAAATTTCAGTGTGTATATAATGAACAAGATTGCGAAATTGGAAGAATCTCTTGCACTTGCGCACAACTTAAACTTACATCCTCGCGTCAAATCTTCCTTAAAAGGCAAAAGGATTGCATCATAAAATCTCCTTCAATCGACCAATTCAGCTGGTCTGATGTTTTTTTTTTTTTCTCAGAAAGAACCAATAAATAAGACGAATTAAACTATTCTCTGACGAAAAAAAAATCGGAAATAGATATACTCTTTAATAAGCGCATGTTTTTCTATGTCTCCGTATTTTTAGATCTACACACACTCATACATAAAATTAATTTCTTCTCGAATGCTAGATTAGCTATATAAAATTAGCTAATATCTTCGAGAAATAAAAACGTTAACAAAAACAAAATAATGTCAAAAATGTATCATTTAAGATTTGTTACTATGATTTTAACAAATTTTTTGTATCAACGAGCGGTTACCTCATCAGAAAATCTTCATCATCATTGTCTAGCATTTCACTTCTGATTTTTTAGTATAACATGCAAGATTTCGTGCGCTCATATTGGGACTATGATTTGTGCAATCTTGACGATGAATTGTTTATGTACTGATAAATTATCTTACCTGATTGGGTGGGTACCAAACTCGGTGGGTACCAAACTCGGTGCCGTGTGAAATTTCCCCGAACTCAGACTGACAAAAATATAAATGTCAGAGCCCTATACAAAACGCTGTACTCCTTTTGGTAAATAAGATTCACAATTTGCCAAAGTATGACGTACTGAGAGAACATTATGACGTCTGAAGAACCACTTAACCAATTGCAAACCAAGCGAATCAACAAGAGTCGATTTTCCTAATTTGTATTGACCAAAATCAAGCAACTAAAAATAAATAAATGAATAAACGATGGCGAATTTAAAGCGAATGTCTAACTAGATTTCTCATCTTGCATCATTGTTTGAAATTGTAAATCAAATTTCAAATGTTATACAAGCCCGTGATAATAAAGCACAGCAGTATTTATTTCATAGGTACTGAGATTTACCCACAAAAATCGTAG